ATATACATATGAAAGAGAGAGAGAGAGAGAGAGAGAGAGAGAGAGAGAGAGAGAGAGAGAGAGATAAAGAGGAAGAGGAAAAGGAGGAGAGAGAGAGAGAAAGAGAGAGAACAGGATGAGTGTTGCACATGGCCTTTGTACAGAATCAGAAATAATGGATTTAAAGAGGAGAATGAATACTATTAACCCCCCAAATATAGACATAACAGTTGATTAAGTTTTTTCAAAAGATCGTCAGAGAGGTGTATGGTAATAGATCACAACCGTTCTTCCACAACAAACAAATTAAAATGAAAAGTTTTGACGTGAAACGTTTCACGTGAATTAAGTAGAATATAAATTTTGGAAGTACAGAAAATCATTTGAGTTTCCGCTGAGAAGTTTGATGAAAGCAAATACAAAACTGTGACATTTAAAGAGAAGAAGAAGAAGAGAGAGAGTGATAGACAGAGAGATAGAGAGAGAGAGGGAGAAATGGAAATATTTAAGCGAAAAGTTTTATTGAAAAAATAGTTATGGGAGTAAAGACATGGAAGCGAAAACTGGTGAGAAGATCGTTGAACTGCTAGCGAAACGTTGAGAAGCTTATGAAGTGGAATAAATATTTTCCTAATAAGGTAAAAGAAACATGTTACATGTTCGAGCAGTGTATGTATGTTTGAAGCATATTGAAAAGGAGAAAGAAGAATGAGGGGATACGGGATGAGATCTTTGCCATTCATCTGACGATTAATGGCAATGTCCTTGTGCAACATAATATTAACTAAAATTAAAATGACCGAGTAAGCATTTCATTAAAAGCTGAAGCTTCGACTCAAACAACCAAAATAGGCTCTTGACAACAATTACAATTTCTGTGTTAGCTATGAAAAAAGAGATTCTCGATGAATATATTTATTAGAGGAAATTGAGGAAACGGCTGGAGATATGAGAAGGAACGTCCGGGTCATTTGATGGCACACATAAGTTTTCCCAGACCAAAACAACGAGGGACAGATTTTGATGTTCAGAAGATGGAAGAAATGGTTGTTTACGGAGAAAAAAAGTTGACTAAAAAAGGAGAATGATGGCTTCAGGAAGTAAGCAACGTATATTGTTTAGTCACCTCTGAGAAAAGACAGACCAGTGTGCAGGCGAGGAGTGGGGGGGGGGGATATGAGGAACAAAGAGAGAAATGGGAGAAAGTGCCAGCCATTACTTTATTTGGAGAAGCTTAAGGTGATGAAGGAGACAAAAGAGAAAAAAATATAAAAAAGCTGGGAAAGAATAGCTCAAATGCTATACGTGTACGAGAACATGAAGGAAAATAGACAACAGACAGAAGATGAGAGTAAGCGAGAGTGGAAAATGAGCTGAGAGAAGAAGAAGATGATGATGATTATTCTAATCACAAGAAAAGAAAATATTTTTTATTTCAAAACGGAAATGAAACGAAAAAGTAATTTGTCATCCAATGAACATTGGCTGAGAGCAAAACGATAGGTTTAAGAAAGAAAAGACCAAATAAGCCAATGGACGGAATTTCAAAGAATTCTTACTAATGAACAAATCAATTCTTCTTCTTTTACAAAGGACAAAACTTCGATGAGAAGCTCGTTTTCTTCCGGAAATAAGCTTATTTCTTCTCATTTCGTTAAAGTCAATTCAAACGTTTCTCCTCCAAATGTGTTTATGTTGGAAGATGACGAGAAAAAAAAGTTTTTTTTTGTTCGATAGTCATTGGCTATCCGAGTTAACAAAGATTCCTTTCGATAGTTTTGTTTGTAACAGCAATGTTGTTTCTTCTGCAGACTAACGAGCTTCTCTTTGGTAGAAGAACTACATTAGTTTTCAATGCAAATGATTTTTCGCTCTCCTTCTCTCGTTCGCTACTCACATACTAGCCAGTCTTACTACACTGACCCTCGTTCGTACAAGCTTCTCATTCTACGGATTCAAAAAAATGAATAAACGAATGCTCTTATATACTATTTGAAATGAAGAATAATTCATTTGAACTGTGCGAGATATGAGGTGTGAAATACAGAAATATAATGAATACAGCCAATTACATGCAAATATAATTACTTGGAGTAGCTTTGAGGTCGAATAATTGATTTTCCGTCCATCAAAATCGAAGAAGAAAGACAATCTACTGCCATCTATGGAAATGAAGCTGAACTGATTATTCTGAATCTGACTCTCTTCGTTTCTGGAAAATCCCGCGAGGCAGATGTGCATAGAAGATCAGAATAAAATCAGTGAGGCAGAAGCTCAGTGAGAGAAAGCCGCAGAAAGCTCATTGTAGACGGATTGCTTTTGGAGGGAGAGCAAGAAAGGAAAGAATGAAATCTGTAAAGCAGGCCAATACGGCAATGATATAGAACAGTGCAAAACACTCGGTAAATCACATCTTTCTGATTAAGATGATACGTAGCATGAAGAAGGAAAAGAAAACAAAAAAATGCCGACAATCGTTGAAGGCCAATTGGCGTTTTTGAAACCATTTATTCCCATGAGATGACAAGCTGACGACAGCAAGCTCAAGAAAGCTTTTGAACTGATGATAAATTGTAAATTTCAGCTTAATTATGACGAGATGGATGAAGGTTTTCAAGATTTTTCAAATAAACGAAGGGATGGTCCGCACGAACGTGACTCAATAGAGGTCAAAATGTAATTTATTATTTATTTAAGACTATACAAGTACTTCAAATATATTTTTTGATTGAAAAAACTCTTTTTACAACATGAAATTACATTTGGAACGGCATCAATGAGTGTATCTCTCTCTTAACGAGTTCCTCTCTTCTTGGCTGCTTCCAACATTTCGTCTTGAAGAATTTCCATTATTTCCAAACGCTTATGAGTTCTTCCATCCAAATCGAAGCTGAAACTCATAGAATATTTCAAGTTCAGAGTTTTCTTGTCTTACAGAACAGTTGGTTTCTTCCAGTAGTCTTCTCGAGAGCGTTCCCAATCAGCGGGGCTAAGTGATTTGCCTGAACAATACAGATTTATCTTGTCTGTTCCTTTATAACGATACTTCTATCAAGCCAGACTTCAATTTTTCCGAAGCTAGCGTATGAAAAGACGCAGAAAATGGCCAACCAAAATCCACATAGGAGGATTAATGGATACACCTCATAAGCATGCCCAAGTCTTCGGAACAAGAATGTCAATGGTAAGTCGCCCTGTTGTGGTATCGGTCCGCTAGCGTTTTTGTTTCTCGAATTGTTACGGGTATATTGAAAGAAACCCTTAAGAAGAAGATTATCTAACAAGCCGAGAGTTTCAACTTACAGCTTCATTGGTTGGTTTTGCTAGTTGGATCTTTGGATATACCTGAGACGTTGTCGAGCTCGAAGAAAGCCGAACGAGGATGCAAAATTCTGGGCATTGTCGTGATAGAAGGCGTGATAGACTCATTTTTGTTCTCTTAACTGCAAATATGAATTAAAGCAAAAGATTGTTGGAGACATTACGAGAATCAATAACATGGGGTATATGGGCTTATCCTATTCGAAATTAGAGATGTCCCTCACAGCTTTAATCATCATCAAATGTTCTCTTTTTTTAAATGTCAGACTTAAGAGAGCTGTATCAAGTTGGAAAATTCGATGATGTGTTAGGATGTGAGTGGGAAAATTACCGATCTATGAGGCGGAACACATCTCCTACGATTTGTGACCTCCCTTGAGATGGATAAAGCTCCTTTGACAGATAATTCAATGGACAACTACTCACTTCTATATAGTTTATTTGTTTCAATTCGATTCAATCAAATTCAAGCTGCGATAACTTAGATGTTAAAGTTCTTTCTCACTAAGCTCTCACTCACAACAAAATGATCTGACTATGAAACTAAAAAAAAAAATGGTAGAAATAAGATACTCAAGCACACACATAGTATACACTTGACACTTCTGCTTTAGCAACGGCTTTTATACTAGCCGGGGATTCTGACGTACTCGGTTGCCGATTCCTTTTAGAAAGTCACGTAAGCATGTCTGCACATCCTCCTCGTCGTTGCTATTAATCTTCTAACGTTTTCTTTCTCTCAAATATTCATTTTTCACATTTTTACATATCTCACGTATTATCTATAAACAAAGAAATTGAAAGGCACGTTAAAGCCATCAATTTATTTGTTTTAACCGAAAAAATGGAGAAAGAGCATAGACTGCTTCTACATATCTCGTTCACAATCACACGTTCGCACTTTTGTGTTGACCTCCCTGCATACCTTTTTATGTCATATTGAGGTTTGCTATGTCTTCCATACTCATGTCGTTTATAGTTCATACATTCTTACATCACAAGTATTTAGCAGTGTTTCACTCGTGGGATGTCTATACTAATGGAGCAACCAAGCAATCTCGTAAAGTTCTACACGAGAGCAATAAAACAAAAATTTCGAAATAAAAAATACAAAATGCGTTAAAGCCTAGTATTACGAAATACCTGGTTGCATAGATCAACCTATAATAAGAATTCTCCTTGATCTCAGATATCTCACTGGATATGGTGTTTTCATTTTCTTATGTGTTCGATAGTTCATTCATAGACTACCGATCATCTCCCACATACGAGTATGAGAACATCGGCTGGTAAGTCTGACCAGAGTGTTTCTTTATATTTGTTCAGGTTTCTGGAGGTTGAATCGGAGAAAGATAATATATGTTTCATTTTGTACGGTGCCCCGAACAACCGAATCATTCGTCCCTTCCTTCATTGGGAAATTTTGGCAGATGTCACCTGCAAAGTAGCAAATGATAGAACTTTTCAATTCAAGGACGTAAGATTCAGAAGTCAGTATCCTACTATTGAAATTAATTTGTAGGTTTTACTGTTAAATAATCAAACTGACGAGCATCTTATCGGAAAATGTCTTTACAAGGCAACTAAGGAAACACTTCCGAAAGAGTCTTTGAAGGTTTATGGAGGGATCGTGTTTGAAGTCCATATTTTCAATATCAGAGTGGAAGGCTTACGGTCTGTGTGAGTTCATGCTATTCCTTATATGTTCATTGTTCAGTAAGTTCGAGAAAATAGACTACAGTAGCCCGTTCAATGATTCTGATATCACAATATCAATTAATGACAAGATTTATTACGCGCATAGTCAGGTAAAAACAGAATACTAATGTTCAAGAATTTTTTTGACAGCTGTTACGCTTAAGCTCAGTTGTTTTCGAGAAGATGATAGAGAGGATGTATAAGCTTTCATTAGGGGATCAAATTGTTTTATTTTTCTTCCCATTCGTGACATTCTCAATTCCTCCGTCTAACATAACCCTAAACGATGAAATCCCTGTAGATGAGTTTCTCGAACTACTGCATCACTTATATTTTCCAACCGAGATAATCGACGGTCTGTCAGATAATT